TATTAAAAAAAAACCAGAAGTAAATAAAAAGTAAAAACAGCAAAGGAAACAAAGTTTTACTTTTCCGTTCGCCAGAAGCGAGGACAACAAACGGACATTGTGCAATGAAGCATAAGAAAACGGAAAAGGCTAAAACAACCTCAACATGCTGAAAACCTACAATTTAACCATAAAGAAGAAAAAAAGTTGCTTGATTGAATTTCGGGTTGACCAGGTTGCGCATACGCCACGTTGTGCGGAATGAATGGGCCATATATGGCTTTGCTTTGAGACCCGTTTAATTAACAAAAATTTGCAGCACTTTAAATTAATTAAATTGTCTACTAAAAGGGCTTTCGAAAGGACAATAAAAACACACTTTTATTGCCCAAAAATGTGCAATGATTTCTTCTTTATAGCCTTCTGCTGTTGCTGTTGTTGTTCTTGCCTGGGCTTTAATTTATTGTTTTAATTTTTAGTCTCGCAGCAGCCACAATATTGCCTAGCGCTGTTGTCGTTAACACAAAAGGCTCGTTTCTGAGCTTAACAAACTTTTGCCAAAGTGTTAAGAACTCGTGTAAATTCCATTAAAGCCTCAAGGAAAAAAGAACGAGAGGGATTTTAACCCCAAGTCCTGGCAGCTCTCTGCCACATTCGATAAATCAAGGACGACAACAACAACACACGCAACGCAGCAACTGCAACAACAATAACAACAACAAAAAAGCAGCTCGCAAACCGCCTAAAATTATGCAACACGCGCTATAAATATGCAAATTGTTCGAGCCCTACTAAACTAATCATAGTTAATTAGCACGCCTGACAATTTTCGCTGGTTTCCAAGCCCCGTTGCTGGGGAAAACGTCAAGTATAGATTTTCATGGTAAATTTGAAATCCTGCTGTTGAATTTGAACCAGAAACTTCTCTTTGCATGGTCCGACGCTAAGACAACTGCGCGAATTAAACTTATAAGGCTCAGATTCAGTTTCGCCCAAAGTTACTGCCGAATTTTTTTAAAAACTTTTAGGGCTCATTTTTGAGCCAAAAGGCAGCCATAAATAGATTTATATCCAAGCTTTAAAATTCCAAAAAAAAATGAAATTTTGAAAAGCCCTACAATAAATATTCTGAATAAAACCCATCTATAAATAATTCCCATTATAAAGAACTATATATTTATATTAATCCCAAACTGAACTAAGCATAAGCGATTTTCACTTGCTTTCACGGCCTTGACGCCGTGCCAAAACTCATTAGCCAAGAAATGTTGCTCATTAGCAGCAGGTAAAAGTAATACCTGACAGCTGGCCATCAAATCCCATCATCGCATCAAGCATAAATGAACTATGCTAAATATATGTATATATATATATATATATATATTCTGATCAAACAATCAGAGCGAAATGATCTTATAGATAAACAAACCAAACACTTAACCCTTATGGCCAGGCATTTAGCCCAGCCACATGCCAAAATAACAACAAAAATAAAGAGCCCAAGTAAATACGCCGAAGAGCAGAAAAATCAAATAGAAAATTGCGTTGACAACGTTTGCATTTTGGCAAAGCAACAGAGAAACAACAAACTTCTCTCGCCTCGTTCCTCTTTCGCTGTCGTAATTTTATTTTTCAATTTAGCAAACAACAAGCAATTACAACAAATACAACAACAAGGGCAACAACGAGCCGAACAAAAGCTGCCAATAAAATTTATCATCATTCAAATGCACACGAGCGTAAATTAAATATAATTAAAGCTGTTCTCAATTTTGGCTAAATTGGCGAAAATATGCAAAATGTTTGCTGAAAAGCAAGTGAATTTAGAAGCAGAAAAACGAGCGAATTTTCTGTAGAAAAATTAAAAGCTTAGTTTTATAATAGAATTACAACATGGCAGATAGAGATTTAGGATATTTCCAACCAATCGTTATCGGCACACAAGCGCATATTTTAAAGCTGGTTCCGTTTACATTTTAAAAGGGGTGTTCCCGAAATAACAGGCATAACTATCGATTGAAAACCCAAAAGGGGTGTTCCCGGAATTGAATAATATAAAATACTATAATATTTTCTTTTCTGTAAAAAAATGTATTTAAAGCCGTAATTATTTCGTTAAAAATATCGATAGAAAAACTAAAAAGGATGTTCCCGATATGGGTAGCATAAATAATAAAACATATATTTTACTTTTCTATTATAAATTAAAAACAGATAGATTAACAATAACGATAAGAAAATGAAAGGGGTTGTTCCCAAAAACAATAATTAATTACTAAGTACGTTTCTTTGCCGAGCTCATATATAACACTTCTCATCAATTGATTAGTGATGCGATCAAATGTTAAAAGTTATATAAAAAAAATATTATTATAAATATAAAGGGTATGCCTGCATTTACAGATAAATAAATAACATAAATAACCAAGAGGAAAAAACAAATTATATAAAAACAAAAATAAATTATAATATGCTTATGTTTTACTTTTTTTAAAAAAAAAATCTATTTTAAGGAGTTCTGATTCCGTTGCCAATATCGATAGACAAACTAAAGGGGTGTTCCCAAAAAGTGATACAAAAAAATTATTTTGTAAGAAAATCCCTCTTTCTAACTCATAAACAACCATCTCATCAATCGGCTAGTGTTGAGTTATTATGTCAAAAGTTAAATAAAAAAATATAATAAATAGGAAGGGTATGCCTGTATTTACAGGTAAATAAATAACATCAATTAACAAGAAGTTTTCAAAGGTTAAGGCATTGTTGTCGTCAAAGCACAGTTGCTTCTGAATATAATGCTGATGACTAACTAAAGCCCAATAATTAAATTAATAATTTAAACAGCCAAAAAAGCAAACAAAAAAAGAAACGTAACTGACAAACGATGACGGCACGTGGTCATCAGTTGTTTAGAGTGGGAGGGCGGGTGGTTACAAAATAAAATAATAACCCCTATACTAACTCAACTGAAATGGCAATTAAAAGCACATTTTCGTTTTCGGCTCCCAGAAAACATGGGACGGAGAGAAACACGAGAACCGGAAATCGGCCAAACAAAACAATGCACAAATATTTGCTCATTAACGCTTAATTTTAACAGAAATAAATACTTAATGATTGGGATACTTACGCGCAAGCTGGAAGTAAGAGAAATGAATGCGATGGATGGTGGAGGGCTTGGGGTGCTGCGAATGTTATATAGACATTAGATATAGGTATAGGGAAGGCCCTGCAACTACATCTGCGATGCCCTAGCAGACTATTAAATTCACTAGATTTCTGTATACATTCGGGTTTGTTTCCGACAAGCACCACGAAGATAACACATTCTGTTTTAACAATCAATTACTTTAAACATATTCTTAAAAGCATTTAAATAAAATTTAGCATATTGAATATATTAAATATCAATTGAGATTTTTTATCGATAGTCTTATCGATAATTAATCATTTTTTGGGCATTTTAATAACAGTTTAATAACAGCGCAATATTACATTTTAACTTTCTTAACTGTTTAATTCGATTTGTTATCGATAGTTTTCCGATTATTTTAAGAATGATCTTAGTGTTGGCCCTGGTAAAGCATGTTGACATTTTACAATATCAATTGCATTTTTATCGATAGCTTTTTAATCGATTATTTGAAATATTCCTTAAGAGCATTTAAATAACAGTTAGCCCCAATATCACATGTTGACTATCTTAACTATCAATTGCGATTTGTTATCAATAGCTTCATTGACTTATTTAAGCACTTTCCTAGAAGTATTATATTTAAATAACAGTTAGCTCTGATATCCCACATGCTGAGTATCTCAACCATCGATTGCCATTTTAGTCGATGGAAATGTTCACAATTTTCCAGCATTTTCCTTATAACCTTAACATTATAACTTCGAATGCAAATGTCACAACTCTGTTAAAAGCAGGAGGTTTCTCTTGGACGTTATTTATTTATTTGATGGTGCTTGTGGCTTGGGTCACTCGTTAAAAGGGGTCGACACGTACCGAGCATAAACAATTTCCATAATGCACGCACAAATTAACGGATACAAAAATAAATATTCTTTATTTTATTCATAAATGCGTGAGGCATGTCGAAGAGGAACATAAAAATACGAATTTACGTAAAGCTGGCCGCATACATAAATATGCTTAAAGGACACGTGTACCAAAGAATTGGCTGTAGGCAGAAATTCGTGAATTATTTTGAGCCGCAGACGAAAGTTAATTTTATGTACTGATTGAGTATACGTCATGGTGGCAGGCGCGTTTTCCAATCAATTGACGGAAATGGTAGGCACTGTCAATGGTAGGACGTCAATATTTGAGACAGAAATATGAAAGCGTGATTGACTTGGAGATGTCCTGTGCGGAAGTACAAAGTGTAAGGACAATACTTTCATGAATTACATGGGATTTCATTAACCAAAGCTAATGAAAATGTTGAAGATAGAATGAACTAGATTGCTAAACCTTTTATGCTATATACACCATTTACACGCCCTTATTTAGCCTATTCATATTTACAGGGTATCAAAAGAGGCAGATTAGCAAATCAAATCAATTCTGTTGACTGCGGCCTGCCGCTGACTGACACATTTATTTGTGCGTTTCACATGAAAACAAGAAGAAAAACGCAAGCGAAAAATCTCTGTGCGTCTTTATGGAAATCTTGTCCCTGTGCCGTTTGCAGTTCAATGAAGCAGCTGTGAATGCTTCGTGGATACGAGGTATGCGGGTAGGGGTTGTGGGTTGGGTGTAATGGCAAGTCATGTTCAAAAGTGTGCAACGGGAAATTAAATACGCTTGATTAATTATGAAATTGCGGCAATGCAAATTACCGTCTTTAGGCAGCATTTAATTAAATGATAAAAACACGAACCCCCTCCGACTTTGTAAATGAGCAAATATTTGGCATTGTTTGGCCGCCCGCCTCAGCTCAATTCAGGCTCATTAATATAACTTATAAGACTATATCGGTTAGTTGAGATAGAAACTGTCAAACGATTGAACTCACCTGATGACATAATTAACGCAGACAACGCTCTGCGGCTTTAGCTTATCGTAAACAATCGTAGCCTGTGTCACGATCCAGCAGTAGCCGCCAAATTTGCCCAGTAGACGATAGCGACACGTTTCGCCCTGTCCCTTGCTCAGCACTGCAAAGACAAAGAATCGTTATAGATACACATTAGTTTAGTCCAATTCTATAAATGTAAGTCAAGCTCTTGACTTGACCAAACAAATTAAATCAAGTTACAAAAAAAAACCCCCAGTTGCGGCCGACACCAAAGACAAGAGCAATAAGAATTATATCATTTGAAATTGTTTTTGCGGTTGAAGTTTCTATTTAGGTTTTTTTATATACTTATATTAAATGCCAGGGTTGGGTGTCAAAGACACAAGCACACGCATAATCTCGGCCAAATATAATTCACAAAATTTAAGTTAGAATTATAATTAATAAATGCGAATGCATGGGAATTTATTGTGAATAATAATATGCTTATTGTGCTATGATATGCTTATTAAACGTATGCTGTATGCTATAGAGTGCTCTAGTCGAGCTTGCCCGATTGGCAGATACCATACACCAGAGTAGACCTAGTGCATTCGCACTTGCACAAACACACACACAAAGCAGGCAAGCCGCAAGCTGTGCTTCAGGACTCTTTTTCCTCTTTCCACAAGTTTATATAAAATGTATTCTTAAATAACTTTTGTATTCACAGCTCGATTTTAATGAAAGTTTTATGGCATTAAGATCGCACTTTAGGGGGTCACTTATACCAAATCTTTTTAATTAATGAAGGTGCGATGGTTGAGTATCCAAGAAAAGTAAATACTCTCGCTTTGTGTAAACAAAACGAAAACGTACATACCATGAGATTGATATAAATAGCTCGTATATCTAAGACATAAGATTGTGTTTTATCTACAGCTCCATCAAAAAGTCGATCAAGAAAATGTCTTCTTCTACTGAAGAAAGGAATATATATACGCTATAGAGCTGGTCGTATACGCCTCTTTCTAAGTCACATAACTAATTCATTTAAACAAATTTATTCTAAAACAAATTAAATATTCTAAATATATAGAGCTAGTCGCAAATGCCTCCTTCTACCGAGCACACACATAACTATATTCCAGAACTTTGACAAATTTCTAATGTCTTTTTCAGTTCACCAACATCTCATAGCAATATTAGCAATCTATTACTATGAATTTTAATTATTATAACAATTATAATTATTTTGAATGCTCTCAAGCAGCCCTGGCTTTGGTTTTGTGCTTGAATTTTCAACAACAAAATAGGCAAGTTTCAAATGACGTTTGCCAAAGGCAGCCAGGCATAAATATTAAATAATAGCTGGGCCACAAAAACCGCTCGAGGCAATGTTATATAAGTGCTGAGCTAAGCAATGCCAATTTGTGTTGTGCTTTTAATGCTGTATTTAAGTACGGAACAGCCGTGCTTATAGAGTATAAGCTGAAGAATGATGTGTTGGTTGTCATGGGGCGCTACATAAAGACGATTTTAATTAAAAAATCGTGTACAAATTAAATCAAATAAATATGTGTGCGGAGTATTAGAGCTTTGTATGTGTGTGTTTGTGATGAATGTATATGTGTGTGTATTTATGTATATGTGACAAAAAGACTTGCTGCTACAAGCTCAATAAAAATTTAATGCGCCTGCCAAGCAGCGCACAAGCAGGACATAAAATTACACACGGCTTGATGAAAATTCATAAGCCAAAGACGGCAGCAGACATAGCTGGAAAAGATTTGAGGTGAGGGGCTGAAGGTGGGTAGGGGGGTGATGGGCATGTACATAGCAATTGAAATTCATGGCCTTTAATGCGTTCAAGCGAGTCGGCAGCTAAAAGTTATGCGTTTTTATTAGACCCGTTTTCAACGGGCCAATGGCCAAAACTCAGGTAATTGCCGTTGCCTAATTACCGGCGCAGCTGCCGCAGACCAAATAAGGCAATGGCCTCCTCCAGAATAGCATCCCCAACAAATAGCTACACTTAAATTGAATTCGTAAACTGTAATGTAAAAGCCACTAACACAAATCCCAATGAAACATGAGCGAAAACTGAGGCATCGCTGGCTTTTTGCCATCATTATGGCATTTAGATTTATCTATGTATCTCACTCTATACATATATGTGTGTATATAGAGTGATATATATATATGCGTGTATTTAACTCAGTCTCGCATTCACTCAGTCATTCATTCAGTTAATTTGAAATCAGCAGCAGAAAATTAGTTTTTCTTTTGTGCCAGCGCTTGCGGCTTAGTGGCCTCGTGTTAATTTCAGTCCACGAAAAGCGCCGCACACACTGCACAGTGGTGCGTAGTCTATGAACTAGCAAGCAAAAGTAAAAGCTGACAGACAGAGGGTGATATTCAAATAAATATATATATATTCAATATAATTTATTTTTAACTGCAATTATTTAATTCGACTTGAAAAAAATTGAAAACGAGTATTAATGTCAATTTTATGTTGACAATCCTTTTTAAGAACATTTGGAGTATTTTATACGCCTCATAAATTAAAACTAAGTTCTTTAAAGGAATTTCCCGCCTAAACTTATTAAAAATTGTTTTAGTTCCAAATTTTTTTAAATATGGAATTATAATTTATGCAACTTAATATTTATATAAAAAAATATACAATATTTATTTTAAATTGCAATTATTCAATTTGACTTGAATGAACTTGAAAATGAGAATTGATTTTTAGTTGTTCAAAAAGCTTTAAACAAAAATATTGTTTGAAAAAATATCCCTCTAAAGCTTTTTAAAAATTTCTGAAGTTCCATATTGGAATAATTTATATATTTATTTAACGAAAGAAACTTTAAATTTTCTTCACAAAATATATGTATCTCTTAAATGATATAAGAAGTCGTTCTCAAAAATGCACCAATTTTAAGGAATTTCATACACGATACAAACTTAATCTTTAATAATAACAACTCGGGAGCTACCGAATACCCTAACGAGCTACGCGTTCGTTTGATTGAGCAGTAATACAAATAAATTGAAAAAAAAAAGAGTTCCCTCAATGGGACTCAAACTAAGTCTTAATGAGGAAAAAACGAATTGAAATAGCAGCACAGAAAACAATACAATCGCAATTTCTGCATTGCAATGATCGCATTCAATAAAGAGGTGCTTGAATGTGCGTGTGTTCCTGAATATAGAAATTCATGCAATTTGCGCTAACTGCCGCTGACACACGGACTGCCAATATATATAGAACCAAACGCTTTCTTGAAAAACTTCTGTGTTAACCGATCTTGATGAAATTTTCAACAGTAATTGTATCATAGAATTTGTATATATTCTCAAAAAGTCAATTGCATTAAAATTGCGGCTTAATTTGGTACGCAATACGAATTGGTTTATTTACTTGATTTATAGCTAAGTGGTGGTAGGTGGTGATAGCTATAAAATTACAGATGCTTCATATTAATATTCTATTCTAGAAGCTACATGTCAAGTTTGCTGACTGTAGCTCTAAAAACCTAAGAGATTTGGTCAAAAAACAGGATTTCAATTCGATTTTTATCAATTACTTAAAACCGGCAAGGTATCGATAATGGGAAACAAACCCGTACCGCGCGGACACTATGAGGTCCTACATTTTAAATTTCAAATAATAGAAATATTGTCAAAAAATTCGCTGTAAGAATATTTATTATAAAATAAATATTTTAAAGCATTTGCAAATTGACAAAATGTATAAAAAAGCTACAAAACAGAACTATTATTTAACGCCATAGCTAAGTGTATTTGAACTATCGCCAATCGTTGATGATCATCACCAATTATAAGAGATAGTTTTTGGAGTCTCGAATAAAAATAATAAAAAATCTTTTTAAAAGTTTTTTGATAATCATAACCAAGCGATTTATTTTTAGAATAAATATTCATATCATTGAAAACTGCAACCACAGTGCGCAGGGTCTTTGCCACAATTCCGGATAATAATTATGCTGGGTCATTAATAAGGCAACATCGAAGAGGCTTGTTAGTGTAGTCACGAAAAGGATGTGTGCCATATGTGAGCAGTGTATGCCAGACGCTGGCGAGGCAGAGGATGCGACTCTGGCTGCTGCCGCTGCTGGATTAGGATGCGCGCAAAAGTATGCAACATGAAACTGTGTGCTGAATGTGCAACATTCCAGGCACGCGGCGTCTGCCCGGCCAGAGCCAAAGAGCTCAGACGATTTGCCAGTGTTTATGGAATTAGCAGAGTGCAGCTGCTTGCTGCTGTTGCATTTGCCATGAACTTGATTTGCCCTTAGTCAAGGACTTTTGCCGTGCCAGAGTTCCCTGCTAGACAAGTTTCAAGGCAAAATATTAAAATATCTACGCGCACAGCGACAAAAGATCATTTATCTAGAATTTTTAGCAACACATTCCAAAGACGGCAGCAGTCAGTGAATTTATGAACACGCAGCCAGAGCTGCGGGCGGAAGCGAGGTGAATGCAGACAGACAACGAGCAGCCATTTGTACAAATAAGCAAACAGCAGGAGCAGCAGCAGAAGCAGCAGAAGCAGAGGAACAGCAGGCGAAGGATGCTCGAGGAGCAGCATTGGCAGCTGTAGTTCATTCCGCATTGAGATTGAGATGAATGCAAGGCAAACATTCAAACCGCATTCGAACCGCATTCAAGGTTATGTATCAAAGTTGAACAAATAGCAAGGAGCCAGCGCAGGTTGCAGCCAGAGCTGTCCATTTCGCCTATTTCCTGCCAAATCTGGCTTCTTTTTAGTTGAAAGTGCGATTGCGGCGAAAGTAAAAGCTAGTTTTCTCAGTGTAAACTATTTATAAATATATGTGTATTATTTACTTTGCACTACTCATAAACAAACTTAACGTCAAACTAAGGCACGCCAAAGATTTAATACCATTGTATTAGTTTCCCTTTTGCAAATATGTGAGAATAGTAAAGCTCGAAAATGCTGAGTGTAATGAAAATATCTTTGAAAACTGAATATTTTGCTATATTAGAACCTACTTTTCGAATTATTGTTCCTATTTCTGCTATACAATACAGTGCTCCGATCTGGCTGGCACTTACTGCAACATAAAGACGAACCTATGCGGACCTATACGCACCTGAGAGACTTGA